TAAACCCTAAACCCTAAACCCTAAACTCTAAACCCTAACCTCCTTCGTTGGGTTTGGTGCCCCAGACGCAGCGGTCAGCAAAAGCAGCAAAAGAAATGCAGCAGCATCTTCGAATGCATTCACCCAGCAAACTCCACGCAGCAATTTCTCCTGCAGCAGCAGCAGCAGCTTTTGAATTTAAATTGTTTTGATTTTAATTCCATTTTTATTCAATTCAAATTCTTTTTAAAGCGCTTTGAGGGTGCTGCTGCAGTAGCAGCAGCAGAACAGAGAGCAGCAGCAGCAGTAGTATAGAGAGAGGCAGCAGATACACAAGCAGCAAGAACAGCAGCAGCAGCAGCAGCAGCAGCATACACTGCAGCAGCAGAAGGAGCAGAAACAACCGCAGCAGGGTTAATCCCAGCAGCAGCAGCGCGGACAGCAGCATGAACAGCAGCAGCAGCATGACTACCAGCAACAACAGCAACAAAAACAGCAGCAAAGGCAACGCATCAGCATTAACAGCAGCACGAAACAGCAACAGCATCAGCAGCAGCAGCAGCACACTGACCAGCAAACGCACCAGCAACAGCATCAGCACCACACGCAGCAGCCAACGCAGCAGCAGCAGCAGCAGCAGCAGCAGCAAACCAACCTTGGTTCCACTGAGGCGCCCAGAGCTGTTTGCATTTTGTCCAGAGAAGAAACCACTGAGTCCTTTGTTCTTTAATGACTGCCAAACCCTCTTCGTCTCGCAGCAGCTCAGCCTGCAGCAAACCCTAAACCCTAAACCCTAAACCCTAAACCCTAAACAAGAGGCACTAATCCTTAAATGGATTAACTAAGTTAATTAATCAAATAATTAAATTATTTTATTTATTTATTTATTTATTTATTTTAATTTAAAACTCACCAGCACTTCAGCCACGTCTCTAGACAGCTGCATATTTGTCTCAGCGTGAAAACGAAGTTGGAAATCCTCGAGGGCCTAAAAATAAGAATAAATAAATAAACCCTAAACCCTAAACCCTAAACCCTAAGCTCCAAACCTTAAACCCTAAACCCTACGCGCTAAACTTTTATTTTCCATCTCGCGGGAAAAATATGAAAACCTCGCGAAGATATTAGGGTTTCGGGTTTAGGGTTTAGGGTTTGGGGACTAGCGTTTAGGGTTTAGGGACCTTGAGCAGCATTTGGAGGTAGTGCAGCAGCACTTCTCTGTGCTGCGGCTGCAGCAGCAGCACGCGCAGCTGCTGCAGCTGCAGCACGAGCGGCACAGCAGGAGCAGCAGCAAAAAGACAAAGCCCATCAACTCCTCGAGGGTCGGTTGCTTGTTCTTGAAGAGCCAAGTGCAGCAAAGATAAAATTGCTTCTTTGTAAACGGAAAGAAACGAAGGAGCAGCAGCAGCAGCAGCAGCAGCACCCGCTGCTGCTGCTGCGGGTGCAGCTGCAGGCGCTGCTGCAGGCGCTGCTGCAGGTGCTGCTGCATGTGCTGCTGCGGTTGCTGCTGCAGGTGCTGCTGCAGGTGCTGCTGGGGTGGTACCTCCGGGTGCAGCAGCAGCAGCAGCAGCGGCTGCTGCTGCTGCTGTGTCTTCTGGTATCGCGTTGATTGCTGCTGCACTCGCGCTTGCTGCTGGTGCTGCAGCAACTGCGCCCTCATTGTCTGCTACTGCTGCAGCTGCTGCTGGTGCTGACGCTGCTGCTGCAGGTGCTGCTGCTGCTGCAGCTGCAGGAGCAGCAGATATGACCTGCATAAGGGCCCTCAAAACAGCAACAGCAAGAAGGCCCCCTTTGCTGCAGGCAATGGCAATGAGGGGTGCAGCAGCGCGCAGCAGCTTGCTGCTGCAGCACAGTGCAGCAGCAGCAGGAGCTGTGAACTCCGAAGCAGCAACAGAAACCAACAAATGAAGAGCAGCAACCCCTCTGCAGACACGCCGCTGCTGCTTCCGGTCCCGATAGCCCATGCTGCTGCTGGCAGCAGCAAGAGCAGCAGCATCTGCAGCAGACGCGAAAAGCAAGAAGCCGCAGCAGCAGCCGCAGCTCGAAACCCAAGCAGCAGCAGCAACACCAGCAGCAACAGCAACAGCAGCAGCAACAGCAGCAGCAACAGCAACAGCAGCAGCGACAGCAGCAGCGACAGCAGCAGCAGCAGCAACAGCAGCAGCAGCAGCAGCAGCAGCAGTCAAGAGAAGAGGTAAATAAGGAAGCAAAAGAAAGCAAAAGAAACAAAAAGAGACAAAAGAAGATAAAGGGAAATTGAAAATAAAAAAGAAATTAGAATAAAAGAAATTAAAAACAGAAAATAAAAAAGAAATTAAAAAATAAAAATAAATATTTGAATTACCTGCTGGATCAAAAGCTGTTTGAAAATATCTTTTGCGAAGTGCTGCTGCTTCTGCTTCAGTTGCTGCTACGAAGGCCCCCAGGCCCTGCTGCTGCTGCTGCTGTGCTGCTGGTGCTGCGTCTGCTGCTGCTGCTGCTGCTAACGCGGGACTCTCTTCTGCAGCAAGCGGCCGCAGGT